GTGGCCTGTTAAGTAATGTTTGATCTGTGTTGATTTCAGTATGTTACAATAAAACTTTAAAATGTATAATCATATCCTTTTTGGTTCCTTCCAATGAAATTAATCTCTTTTTCAAAGTTATCTGTCTTTGTAGGGTTCATAACAACATACTAAAACTTAACTTGTCAACTGCAGAAGCCTATTTAACACATCAACATTTCTGTCCTCTTTTGCTCACTGTCTTTAGCACTACAAGAGTTTCAACTTCAGCAAGAGAAGGAGCATTAATCCAGTATCTTGTTAGCAAACTTATCTGTACTGTCTGAAATTTTCAGATATATTTCTCGATCTTTGAGTACTATTTCCACAGTGTTCTCCCACACTATCCGACTAACCAGCAACAGGTCAGTGGAATATTTTTCTCCAGGGCTTAGGTGAAGTTAGAGTGGGAAGATTCTATGAAAGTCTCAGGCACCTGTATATGAAAATTTGTTTCCTCTATAATATTTTCCCTCAAGACAATGCTAATTGTGGCCAAGGTGTGGGTTCATGTGTACCAGGTTCCCTCTAGTATCTATTGTAAAATGGCAGTTTTTCTTGAGTTTAGTTGTAGTGGAATTATTCAGTACAGATAAATGACATCAGTCTCATCCTAATTTATCTGAAAGTTTAAATTTCCTTGGACTATAACCCCGACTGAGGTCAGCAATGCCAAGTGTGAATTAAACTTTATTCAAAATTGGGTTCTGGAGTGACCTCATTACAGCCAAGGTCCAAATATGGTTGAAGGAGATGTATTGCAGCGGTGAGATGAGAGTGACTGCTCTTGAGATCAAGGCAGCATTTGACCAAGTATAACATCAAGGAACCTGTGTATAAGAATCGGGGAAATCTCTCCCAGTTGGTATCATACCTAGCAGCGAGAAAGATGGTTATGGTTATTAGAGACCAGTTATCTCAATCCCAAGGCCATGCTGCAGGAAATCCTCAAGTTAGATATTTTCTATTTGGCCTGTTCAGAGATATTATGACACACCTCCGGAGTCGATGTGACTTGAACCCCAGTCTCCTGGCCCAGAGGTAGGGGCATTAATCCTGTGCCACACGAGCCCCTAAGATCCGCAGAATAGAATTCTTTTTGATAAGCGGCCTGGTCAGAGATATTATTACATATCCCTGGTGGGACCTGAACCCAGGGACACTACCACTGCACCACATGAGTCCAACTGCGATTCTCAGGGTAGTGTCCTAGATGCAACCATTTGTAGCTGCTTCATCAATTACCATACCTCCACCAAAAGGTGCAAAATTGTGATGTTTGCTGATGATTGCATAGCGTTCAGTATCATTCGCAACTCCTCTGATACTGACCCTGTCAATACTTGCATGCAGGAAGATGCAGACAACATTTACATTTGGGCTGTTAAATGGCAAGTAATGTTCACATTCATAGAAATCAACAACCATCTCCAAAAAGAGAGAATTACCAAAACTGAATCTCCCACCTTCAACAATCTACAGGTCATGTTGATAAGGACTGCAGCAATTCAAGAAGGCAGTTCACCTCCACCTGTAGTAAATTCTGGCTTTGCTAGTAACACTCATTTCCATGAACAAATTAAAAACAAGCATGGTGCATCTACTAACTGAGGCATCAGATCAATAATTTGAGACTTAATTTTTAATGGTTATTAGTGGATTTCCTCCGGCTTCTGTATTGACTGTCACTTCTGTACTCTGTAGAACAGAAAAAAACATTTTGTAAATACTTTACAAAGGCAGTGGGCCACAACTAGGAGTTTCCAGAGGAGTTGACACATGGAGAATCGAAGAGTTGGTGTACACAAAAAAGATACATTTTATTCTACAGAATTGTTGGCAAGTCTGCTACCTTTTAATATTAAAGGAAACTAACCATTGCAGTTAAATGAATTCAAGTGAGAGACTGACTCAGGAAAACTAAAACTAAAGGACAAAGTGAGATGTTTGATAATGAGCTTTATTAGAAGGGCCTGCGTTGTCTACAAACTGAATTAGTCTTTGATTTATTGTGTAGCTAAACTTGAATATCAACAGTAACCGTCTGATTTTGGGATATTTCTAAGCCTTTTGATTTTAGAATTTAAGGTCCTGCAACCCCGAACCTCCCTAAAAGATTAATTCCAAAATTCAGGTTCAATCTAATAAAATTCCCTATAAGCCAAATTAAATCTTTAAGTAGGCACTATAAATGCCATAAATGGTTACACTGACATGCAAACCACCCCTATGCTAGAAGTAAACTTCCCTTATTGATTTAGCTCATTGCCTCCTGTCCTGTTAAGCCTGCTCTTTCAGGTTCAAAACAGAATGATTCATTTTTGAACCAAGGAGCACAAATTTTCACACCGCCAAGTTAATCCAAATTTTTTACATGAAATTATTTGGGGGCGTGAAGAGACTGAGAATTGGAAGGTTTAGATGCAAATTATACAAATGTGCATTTCTAATAATTGTGCATCCATTAAACTTGATGCAATCCCTGGCTACAATGCCTCAGTGTGTTTCCAATGGCAAGGCCCCTCACCAGATACATGCATTCATGCAACTGATCCTGTAGAATCTAGATTATCTTGGGAGATAGTTTGCTTAGATGTGAGTTTTCTCCAAACAATGAGAAACCCACAGCACACAGGAAATGCAAGGTTTTCTGGCAAAATATAATTATAAAATAGCATATCTTTCACAGCTTAAAGATAGACAACTTTGTCTGAATTAAACCAAACAATTCTAATGCCTCCAATTTTGCCTCTAAACTAATATGGCCAAATTATTGTATTTCACCAAGATCCAGAATTTGCAGGTCAGAAACACCGTTATCAAATCGTTAATGGTCTTCATTTTCCATCCTTAGAAGGTTCTATGGATGCTGTATGATTGTACATGGCTAATTACCACCCACAACTAATGGGCCAAACTGACTTTGTCATTATGTAAATTCAGTCATTGTTCAGGAAGAATGAGACATACGGTTTTGAAATACATGTAGATTGCTAACTGAATACAACACCAACGCTTCCCAAAGTAATCATCATCAGTTTTGCCTTTGTTATTTTACACCTCATTTATTACACCTCTTAATAATTCAAAATAATGGAGAAGATTATATTGCAGAGCATATATGGATAAAGTTTGGGGCATTGCAGTACCTTCATATTAACTGCTCCATTTTCCCAATTGAATATTACATTAGATCCCTTATGATTCTCATTTTCCAGTGACCAAATGAATCAACATTGCTTTAACCTGCTACGTTGCCCAATTTCACTTCTGTCTGCCCATGTTGCTGAGAATTGGGTAAGTTGCAACATGAAACCTTCCACAAAAATTAGTTTGTTACCAATTTAATCTAATTCTGAAACTCATTGTCCATGATTCAATCTGACTGTCCCTGAGAAAATTTCTCTTACATCCTGTAGACTTTTATTAACAAGTCACTTAAATTTGTTTGATCACCGATTGACCAGCAATTAACCTGTGTTTTGTCACCTTTACACAAATACCATGACATTCCATACTGTTCTGAGGCCAGTTTTTATTCACTGTTACTAAAGTTGTCTCATTAACTCTCCCTTTCTACTTACATGTGCATTTCTCTGATTGTCTCAATTGATTTCTTAGTCCATTAAAGGAAACCCCTTCATTTTCCACAGCTGAATCATTGTTATCAGTACCATGTTAGTGGAAATTTATTGAATGGAGATGATGTGATATTTTTCATATGTCACAACAGTAGGTCACAGAGGGAAGCCATGATGAGGATTAGTTTGCTATATTAGATAAACACCAAAGCAGTGAACGGGCAAAATATAAAGGGAGGCATTTAAAAGAAATGGAGTAAAGAGCAAATAATCTCATTATCTCCAGAGTAGTCTTCTTTTTAGCTCTGCTGTATTCTAAGCCTACAACACAAGGATACATTTCACCTTCCAAATTGTCTTGTGTGCAGTTAAAAACTTTATAAGGTCATCCTTTAACCTGAATAACCACAAGATTGCACCTCAAAACCATTTGTGATCAAGCTCATTAACATCATACAGATGTCAATGCAGAGTGTTTGTATCATGCAAATACAGAATAGTGAAGTATTTCCAGAAAAACTCAATGCAGAGTGATTGCATGAGACATGATCAATGGTCTGAAGCAGTTGGTATATCCACTGCACAAGCAATTATGGTGGGCAGATCAGGTAAGATTACCTGAACGAAAAAATGAATGGAACAAAAATGGAGAAAAGATAACTAGTCTAGTTACCTACAAGTTTGCCACAACCTGTAATCTTAAACCAAAACTGGGATAAACCTGGATGAAGCTATTTAATGCTTGTGAATGTAAAAGTGTGTTTTTACGTGTTTGTGATAATTCTCTCCTACTCACCAATGCCCTTTACTCTCTGTTTGCTACTTCAGAGAACAGACATCTGAGAAAATCTGTACGATTCAGCAATGGAACCAACAGCAATGATCGCTAAGTTTCCAAGAGGCCTGTAATTAAACATTTTAAAGCATGCATGGCCTCTTGCAGGATCTGTGGATAATTTGCCATTTGGATTAAAGATGATCCAATGATTTGGGGTGGCCAGAGAGGGAGACTTGATTATCTAGCTAAAAAATAGGTTGGGTGAAGGTGGAAACTTAATGTTTTAAATACAGCAAGCAGATCAATGTGACAAGGAATAAGTAATGAAGTGGGGGGGGGAAGAAAAATGAGATTAAAAAGGTACGTGAACAAAATGTTAGCAGCAGCAAGAACTGGGAGTCATCATGCTCCAAACAGGGCAGAAATGCTATCAAAGCTCTACTCTAAACATGCACTGAGACACACTAACCACTTGCCACATTGCAAATAAATTAACCCTCTGAGCCCTTTATAAATCTTTCTAAGCTGTATCAAAAAATGACCAGGTTGGTACATCTTTGTTCAGAGAATGCTATTCGTTAAATATTTCTTGTAATCCTCATTTTCTGTTATGTATGGTACAGATTTGATAGAAGTTTTTCTTTTAAGGTATACAACAGGTTCCTGGATGCTTAAAGCTCAGTTCTCAAAGGGTTAATGAACCATGGCTTCTTGGACATAAGACATAAACTATTTCACCCATAAATAATGTAATAGCTCCTTGTTCAGGGCTTTCTATAGCGGTTCTTTGGTGTTTCTCCACATCCAGTGATGTCACAGGATGAAAGAGATGGGTTTTTCCCAGCAGTGATGGCTCCCAATAAAGCAGGAAGCTCATGGGTGATGATACGCTCGATTTTCTCCAGCAGACATCCTCCCATGTATGAGCACTGTGCTGACAGCAATTTGAAAGTATTAATGGAATTAATGCCAAAGAAATCTTTATAGACATTAGGATTGGGAAGATCGAACTTGCTGACGTTGGTTTTAGCCAAGATGGATTTAAAGATGTAGAATTTGTCTGGTTCATCCAATATTTCATTGAAGACTAACTCAGGATCACTGAAGAAGGTCATTTTATCTTTAAAAGTCTGCAAATATCGATCCACAAGAAGGGCATGGAGGCGCACACGTATGGCATGCTGTCGGATGAAGGCGATTTTGTTCTCCAGCCTATTCTCAATGACTTGGTTGAGATCCTCCAGGAGGGAGACCTCTTCTTTCAGGAATAGGTTTTGATTTGTATCAGGTTGGTACTCATATGGCCAAAAAGAACTAACGTAGACTCTTGGTGGTTCTGTGACATTGATTAATGGTGCCAGGCTCCAGAAGAGAGCTCCGTAGACTCGCATCAGTTCCTGAGTGGCCACATTGTCAGCTTTATTCAAAATTATTCTGATTTGAGACTCACGACCCTTCAACTGACGGAAGAGCATCTCCAATTCCAATCCAACGTCCAGTTTGGTAGGATCAAACACAACAAATATGAGGTCAGCTCGATCAATAAACCATTGACAAACATCATTGAAGGGATAACCTATGAAAGGTAGAAAAATTATGAAACAGCTAATTTCAAAATATAGAAATACCACTGGGTCTCTAGAATAGTTACAAGCACACTTTGGAGCAGCAATACATCATTTGGTAAAAGGGCGTACAAATGCCTCTATGCATTTTTAGGGAATTTATTGAAAATCCTGACTTCCCTGGTAGTATTGCATTCAAACTCCCTTCGTGCCAATATCTTACCCAATGTCCAACCTTATGTTCTATCTCAAACTTTGTTCCTTCACCTAACCTACTGAGTTCCATTCTCTCCATCGTTCTTCCTCCACTTTTAAATGTCTTGTCCAACACACGTTATGGATGTGCCCTAGGTCACCTCTCTGAGCTCCAGCACTTACATAAGAACCAGGGGCAGGAGTAGGTCATCTGGTCCTTCAAGCCCGCTCCGCCATTCAATAAGACCATAGCTGATCTTTTTGTGGTCTCAGCTCCACTTACCCACCCTCTCACCATAACCCTTAATTCCATTACTGTTCAAAAAATTATCTATCTTAGCTTTAAAAACATGCAACGTGGAAGCCTCAACTACTACACTGGGCAGGGAATTCCACAGATTCACAACGCTTTGGGTCCTAAATTGGCTCTGCCTAATTTTGAGGCTATGCCTTCTTGTTCTAGTTTCACCTGCCAGTGGAAACATCCTCCCTGTTTCTATCTTATCTATTCTCTTCATAATTTTGTATGTTTCAATAAGATTTCCCCTCATTCTTCTAAATTCCAATGAATATAATCCCAGTCTATTCGGTCTCTCCTCATAAGCCAACCCTCTCAACTCCAGGATCAACCTAGTGAATTTCCTCTGCACCCCCTCCAGTGCCAGTATATTCTTTGTCAAGTAAGGAGACCAAAACTACATGCAGTACTCCAGGTGTGGCCTCACCAGCCCTCTATACAGCCGTAACATAACCTCCCTGCTTTTAAACTCAATCCCTCTAGTAATGAAGGACAAAATTCCATTTGCCTTCTTAATTACCTGTTGCACCTGCAAACCAACCTTCTGTGATTCATATACAAGGACACCCAGGTCCCTCTGCATAGCAGCATGCTGCAATTTTTTTACTGTTCAAATAATAGGTCTTTTTGCTGTTATTCCTACCAAAATGGATGACTTCACATTTATCAACATTGTACTTCATCTGCCAGACCTTTCCCCACTCACTTAAACTATCTGTATCCTTCTGCACACTTTGCTCATCTTAGTGTCATTTGTAAACTTTGAAAACTACATGTGGTCACAACTCCAAATCATCTATGTAAATTGTAAACAATTACAGTCCCAACACTGATCCCTGAGGCATGCAACTGCTCTTCTCCACAGCACAATTAATTATTTTTTCAACCATGGGCAGTTGCATCAGTGAAATACTTCATCTGTTAAATTAAACAGGCTACATACATTGGCACTTTTTAATCCTGGGGTGATAAAATATCTGAATGATATTTTTGCAGTTTTACATTTTAATTCCTGAATATCATATTGTGTCTCTCATTGTGACCATTGTATTAGTATGTGTTACAGTAGTGAGCAGTCATCAGCCTCCATCTTCCTAATCACAGCCTCAATGCTGGAAGTATTAACATACAGTCCCCACAAGTTTCCAACCTGCATTTTATTTTTGAGTGCCAGTCTTCACTAAAATTCCCTAATTGTGAAATCAATCCTGTTGTATCAAAGTATCACAGGATAGCCAGGCTAGGAATGGTTGTATTCTCTCTGATCTACTGCATTAACCATATGTATTTGAGAAGCCAGAAGATTTATTCCCGTTTCTCCAAGGCAACTTGCAGCATTCACAGTTCATAGTTTACCCTACTGGATGAACGCTATCGCTTTAGAATATAACCCACCACCCCCTCCCATAAATTAAGGCTGGAATTAGATGCAATTCCTCAAACATATCACACCTCACCCAATAGAGTCATCACAACAAGTATTAACAGACTTCCTGTTATTACCTCTTTCTTGCTGTTTACGGTTTTCAATTATTCCAGGTGTGTCCACAATAGTCACTCGTTCCAGCAGCTTGTGTGGGAGTTCAATTCCAACAAGTTTCTCCAGAAAGTTCTGGCCAAACTTTTCCAAAGGAGAGAACGACCGAGCACTATCGGCAGCCATGACAATTCCCTCCACTGTGCGTATCTTAGACCCATGCATCAAAACAGTAAATTCTGATGTAGTTGGCTCTGCACCTATGGGCAGCAAAATAGAGAATGAATGAAATTTAGGAACATCAGACCATCCATGCCTACCCAACTTCCAATTTAGGGCTGATCTGCGCCTCAACTCCATTTAGTTATCCTTACTCCACACCCCTGATCAAAAATCTACAAAAGCAAAATACCATGGACACTGGAAATCTGACATGAAAACAGAATACCCTAGAAATATTCAGTCTTTAGGATAATACCTGTGAAGAGAGAAACAGAGTTCACATTGCATTCATCACAACAGAGAACTCCTCTTGTTCTTGATAATCACTGTTGTCCCAGCATCCATAGCATTTTTTTTGGAGGAGAGTGGTGTGGTGGAGCTATTTCCAAGTTTCTAGTGATTGGGGAAGGCCATGTCAGAGTTCTGGATAAATGCATCCTAGAGGTGATAATGTGTTCAGAACAGACTACCAGCAGGAGACATTTGCCTGTTGCCTCTTAATATCAGGCAGCATTTGCACTTTTTTTGACTCATACTACACATATTGAAACTGGTCATTCAAAAGGTTACCCTATAGATTTCTAGAGCCACGACTGGGACTTATTTTGTTTGAACCAAAAGTGATATTTGCCACAGAGATGATATCAATATGACAAGTGATAATTAACTATATTTTTAAAGAAACGAGAGACTGCAGTACTAAAATGCTTGAACAAGTAATATGTTCTTATAAGGTATTATGTGTATTTATTTTATGCAACCAAGATCTTACAATCTGAAACACAGTCTGTAAGAGGATTATGGAAACAGATTCTATATTGATTGTAATGAGGCCAGCCAGCTGGACCTCAGAAAATGGGTTCTCTGATTGGGGTTGTTAATCTGGTCCAATCAGGGAGCCTTGGCTGACAAAAAATGGTGTGTCAGAGATACTGACACTCTGGTACCTGACTCTGAATGAGGCAGGACTAAAGTCAAAGACTGTTCACATGTAAATAAAGGGTGACTTAGTGGTGGAATACTGGCCTCTGTGGAGTTATTTCAGTGGCAATGAGAGTGGGATTTAGGATATCATCAGCCTGTTAAATTTTTCAATTGATGATGGAGAACATTTTGCAAGGTCTACCTCAAGTCGCCATCTACCTAGACAATGTCTTAAATCCAATAAGGAATATTTAGAGAACTTAGATATAGTCCTAAGGCTTTTTTCCAGGGCAGGTGCAGATCTGAGAAGGGAAAATTGTGTACTCCAGGCCCCCCAAGTGACCTAGATGGGCTACACAATTGACACGACCGGCTTACACCCATTGGAAGATAAAGTGAGGACAATCAAAGGTGCCCCAGTTCCCATGTCTGCCCACAAGCATAGGTCAATTCTTGGGCTGGTAAATTATTATGGAAAGTTCATACATAACCTGGCAATCCATTCTGGCACCTTTGCATCAACTCCTTAAAAAAAATGTCAGCCTTGGAAATGGTCACATAGACAAGCACTAGCTTTCAATGAAGTTAAAAAAGAAACACTATTATCCTATCAGATTTTGGCACACTGTGATCCCAAGAAAGATCTGGTATTGACACGTGATGCATCAGGGTGGTAATAGTTCATAGGTGGCCCAATGGAGAGGAATGCACAATAGTATATGCATCCAGGACTTTAGCTAATGTGGAGTATAAATATGCCCAGATGGAAAATAAAAGGTTTGACTGTCATATTTGGAGTCAGAAAGTTCCACCAATACCTTTATGATAATCATGGACCACAGACCTGTATTTGGTCTGCCTAAAGAGGGCAAGGCAGTGCCTGCCCATAGTATATGGCCATATTCAGCAGTGGGCTCTAATACTAAGTGCTTATAATTACAAGTTAGAACAAACCCAGAGGCCAAGTAGCAAATGCAGATGCGTTGAGCTGCCTCCTATTACCAGACACACCACTGGTGGTACCCCCAATGGAAGAGTCTGTAATTATATTACATTTTCTGGACACGTGACCAATCACAGCTGACAATATTACATTTTGGACACCAGAAAGCTCCAGTCTTTTCAAAACTGAAACAACGTATTGTTGGGAGAAACCAACGGTCATCACAATGAGATTGGAACCTTTTTTGGACCCGGAGAGACCAGCTCATGCGAGAGGGACTGTTATGTCTGGTGGCCAGGCCTGAATGCAGACATAGCCACATTGGTAGGATAGTGCCCAGAGTGTCATTGAGAACAAATAATGACTGCCAGCAGCTCCCCCACATTCATGGGAATGGCCAAGTAAATCTTGGACTCAGTTGCACATCAACTATGTAGTCCTTTCATGTGTTCAATGTTCTTAGCCATTGTAGACAAGAGTGTTTGGATGTGCATAGGGTCCATTCATCAAACACTGGGATGATGATAGAAAAATTGCATGCATCTTTTTCAACGTACGCAGTCCCAGAAATGTTGGCCACAGATAATGGGCCATCATTTACCAGCAGGGAATTTGGTTACTTTTTAAAGTTGAATGAGATTCAACATATAAGGGCAGTTCTGTACCACCCATCATCCAATGACCTGACAGAAAGGACAGTCCTAACTTTGAAGGGGTTGGCTTGAAGAAACAGCCTACAGCCTCGGAGGCTCTCCAAGAAAAAGGACTCGCCTATGTCCTTGGATTCGGAGGGGGATGGATGTATTGATTGTAATGATCAGCCAGGTGGACCTCATAGAATGAGGTACCTGGCTCTGAATAGGGCTGTACCGTAGTCAAGGATTGTTCATGTGTAGATAAAGGATGACAAGATACTGGTCTCTGGAGTTACTTCAGATTCAATACTAATTTTCTCCACAAAATTGAGTATGTACTTGGAAAGGAAAAAAATACTGAAGGCCTATGGAGAAACTGCAAAAGAATGCAACTAAATTGACGGGCTGAATATGCTGTATGGTCCAATGATAAAGTGCTTTGAAGTTAAAATACATCCTCATTTAAAGCTATAAAAGGGAATACTTGAACAAGTCATTGAATTTAGAAATTTTCTCACCACTGTTGTTCTGCACACATCTGTTTAACTAATACCAAGGTTTCTCAGCTTTGATATCTCCTTTTTGGATTCCTGTATCAGAAGGAAATCTCAGAGATAGTAGGAACTGCCAATGCTGGAGTCTGAGATAACAAGGTGTGGAGCTGGATGAACACAGCAGGCCAGGCAGCATCAGAGGAGCAGGAAAGCTGACATAATGGGTCTGGACCCTTCTTCAGAAATGCAACTAAATTGATGGGCTGAATATGCTGTATGGTCCAATGATAAAGTGCTTTGAAGTTAAAATACATCCTCATTTATAGCTATAAAAGGGAATACTTGAACAAGTGATTGAATTTAGCATTTCTGAAGAAGGGTCCAGACCCATTATGTCAGCTTTCCTGCTCCTCTGATGCTGCCTGGCCTGCTGTGTTCATCCAGCTCCACACCTTGTTATCTCAGAAGGAAATCTGGTGTGTACTGTTTGGTTGCTCTGGGGTTTCCTGTGACTTATTTGACCAGCTCTGTGGAAAATTTCAGTATGCATACTGCCTCACTGAATGGTTGATCAATTTACCAATTATTTAAAATTTATTAAGAGTAATATTGGGCTCATGCCAAAATTTGAGGGAAATCTTGAATCCACTTTTCTGAACATTTTGTCTCCTCCAAGCATGATCATAAGGTGAAGTAATCTCTAGTAGTTCTGAGGAAGGCTCACTGGACCCAAAACATTAACTCTGATTTCTCTCTACAGATGCTGTTAGACCTGCTGAGCTTTCCCAGATATTCAGTTTTTGTTTCTGATTTACAGCATCGGCAGTTTTTTCAGCTTTTATAAAGTAATCTTTGGATTTAATAAATTTTATAAAGTTGGAGCTGAGTGCCATTGTCCTACATCTAAAACTCATACAGAATAGGAGGAGTAGGCAGCTCCACAATTTAATTAAAGTATAACTGATCTACTGCCTCAAATGTATGTTTCTACCATATCTCCATATTCCTCAAAACCTCCATTTTGAATCTACTCAAAACTAAGCAGCCACAATTCTTGGGTATTGAGTAAATTCAAAAGAGCCTCAATCTTCTAAGTAAATACATTTCTCTCATCTCCATTCTAAATAGTCAACCACTTATTCTAAGACTATGATTCTTAATTCCAGAATTCCCATTTCCCAGAGAAACATTGTCTCAGCCCTACACTGTCAAAACCCTAAAGAATTTTGTACATTTAATTAAATTACCTAACATTCCTCTGAATCATAGGAAATATAAGGTTAGACTAATCAATCTTTCTAACAATTTGAAAAGGAGAATGTGGATTCTAAGATTAATGTTTTAAACCTAAACAGTGGAAACCTATAATGATATGAAGGCAAAGCTGGCTAAAGTGAACTGGGAAGCTAGATTGAAAGGTAGTGCAGTAATGATGCAGTGGAAGACTATCAAGGAGATATTTAATACAACTCAGAAAAGATTTATCTCCGTGAGGAAGACTTTGAGAAGGATGCATCCCCCTTTGCTGAATTAGGGAATTAAAGGAAGTTTCAATTCAAGGGACAATGTACAATTCTGCAAAGGTTAGTGGTAAACAAAAAGATTGGTCATATTAATAATGAGCAAAGAAGGGAGAACTAGTTACAAAAGTTAGAAAGGATGTATGAGAGAAAGTTAGCTAGTAATATAAAAATACAGTGAGAAGTTTGACATGTATTTTAAATGGAAAAGAGTAATTCAAGCTAATGCTTGTCTTTGAGTGAGCCTGAAGAATTGGTAGATTTGTGCATTGAACAGATACTTTGTGTCTGTCTTCACTGTGCAAAACTTAGAAAACTTCTCAAAAAGACATGAAAAATCAAAAGGTGAAAAGGAGGAAGAAACTTAAACCAGAGGAAAGGTGCTGGGAAATCCCTTAGAACTAAAGACTGAGGAGTCCCCAGGAGCAGATATTATGCTTCCTCCAATATAAAAAGTAGTAACTGGAAAGATAGTAGAGGCATTGAGTACAAACTTCTAAAATTCATTAGATTCTGGAAGGGTCCCAGTAAAAATAAACAAAGCTAATGTAATACCAAGTAAACAGGGAGTCAGAGATTAGGAAACTATAGGCCAGTTAATTTAATATATTTCATCATGAAATTGCTAGAATCCTTTAAGGAATTTATTGCAGGATACTTAGAAAGTCATAATGCGATCAAGAAGAGTCAACATGGTGTTGTGGAAGATAAATCATATTTAACTACTTTTGTGAGATTTTATTTGAGGAAGTAACAAGAAGGTGGATGAAGGGAAACCTGTGGATGTTCTGTACTTGTATTTCCAAAAGGCATTTGATAAAGTACCATATCAAAGGAAGTAGAGTATAAAAAAGAATTCAGTTCTTTTTCAGGTTGGCAAGCCATTGCTAATGGAGAACCGTAGGAACCTGTACTGGGTTCTTAACTATTTACAATCTATATCAATTATTCGGATGATGGAACTGAATGCATGGTAGCTACATTTACCGACAATGCAAGGATAAGTAAGAATGTAAGTTATCAACAGAAGGTAGAGAGTCTTCAAAGGAATTTTAAGTCTAAGTAAGTGGACTAAAAATTGGTGCACAGAATATAATGTGGGAAAATGTGAACTTTAACCCAGTGGAGTTTAGAAGAATGAGAATGCTGCTGTTAAAGCATACAGGACTCTGAGGGAATTTGCCAGGGGAGATTCTGAAAGGATGTGTCCCCTTGTGGAGAGTCTAGAATTGGAGGATAACATTTATGAATATGATGTCTCACGTTTTAAGATGAGGTTAAGAAATGTTTTCTCTTTTTGAATTGTTAGTCTATGAAATTTTCTTCCCCAGAAAATGACGGAGACTGGGTAATTGAGTTTACTCAAGGTTGAATTAGATTTTAGATATACAGGAGGCTCCAGGTTTTTTTTCATGTGGCGGTGGGGGGCAGCAGACAAGAAAAAGGAGTTGAGACCATACCAGATCAGTCATAATCTTGCTGAATGGTGAAGCAGACTCATGTTACAGAATGGTCTACTCTTGTTTTAGATTCCTTGTCTCAATACCTGTATAAAGCTGAATTTTAAAAATTTTGGAGATCACTGCTCTGATGAAGAGTCATCTAAACTCAAAATGTTAGCCTACTTTATCTCCATGGATGCTGCCTGACCCATTGTGATCTCCAGCATTTTTTGCTTTCAGTTCAGTTTCCAGTATCTGCAGTAATTTGCTCCTACCTGTATAAAGTTGATAGATAGTCTCATCCAGTCCCAGGAGGTAATTGACCATGGTGGATTTCCCAACACTCCATGGTCCCAAGAACAGCACCATTGGTTTTGACACAATTTCTCCGTCTGGAAACACAGCAATTTTTACATGCAGTAGCAGTTAACAATTCATTATAACACAGCTAAACCATAGTGTCAAGCTAAAAGAAGCTCCTTCCAAACAATTGATAATGTAAATAGATTTTACAAGTATGTGTAAGTACAAATCACACTGGAAACTAATGGGATCAGGTTTGGCTCAGTAGTAGTTCTTAATCTCTGAGTCACAAGGTTGTGCTTTCAAGTCCCAAACCAGAAGCACTGCCTTCCAGATGAGCCTTTAGAACAAGATATCATTTGATCCTCAGGCAAAAATAAAATATCCTACATTACTTTCCTGAAGACAAGCAGAGGAGTTCTCCCCAATCAATACCTATTCCTCAAGGAACTGTAAACAGAATCTTTTGTCTATTATCACATTGTTATTTGTAATATCTTGCTGTGGTCATTTGGCTGCCTTGTGTCACCTCATTGTAACTGTAAGTTACAAAAGTGCTTAATTGGCTGTGAAATGTATCTTCTCTGGACATGAAATACAAATTCATCCTTTCATGTACAAAAGTGAATTTCGAAAGGAATGTGAAATTATCAAGTTAGGGATGCGGATTTCAATGTGGCCTATCCATTCAAGAAGTTGAGCAACTGGAACATCTATTTTAGGAAATTGCCTGACAAGCTGTTAACCTGGGCAACTAATCACTCGATAAAATTTGGAGCTGAAGGAGCACAGGAAAGTCAATGTTTCAAGTCAGGACCCTTCATCAGGACTGTGGAAGAGGAAGGGAGCTCAAATAAATAGGGAGGTGCTGGGTGAAGGTAGGTGGGATGGTGATAGGTGGATGCAGGTGGGGGTTGTACAGATTGGTCAGTGGGAAGGGTGGAGCAGATAGGTGAGAAGGGAAATGGATGAGAGGGAAGGCTGGACATACGATGAGGCTGGGGTTGGGGAGATTTTGAAGTTGGTGAACTCTATGGCTGAGGTTGTAAGGTCCTGAGCATATAAGGTGTTGTTCCTCCAGTTTACATATGGCCTCATTGTGAAAGTGGAGGAGGCCCGGGATGGACATGTAGCCAAGGGAGTGGGAGGGAGAATTGAAATAAAAACCAAAAGAATTGTGGATGCTCTGAGTTCTGAGGAAGGGTCACTGGACCTAAAATATTAACTCTGTTTATTCCTTCACAGATGCTGCCAGACTTGCTGGGGAATTGAAGTAGCTGGCAACTGGAAGGTGGTGTTGATTGGAGAATACAGAGTACAGATGCTCTGTGAATCAGTCACCAAGTCTATGCTTGGTCTCTCCGATATAATGGAGACCACATCGCGAGCAACGGATGCAATAGACCAGATTAGAAGATGTACAGGTAAATCTCTGTTGGATTTGGAATGATTGTTTGGGGCCTTGGATGGAGGTGTGGGAGCAGGTGTAGCACCTCCTGCAGTTGCAGGGAAAGATGCTGGGTGTGGTGGGAGGGTTGGTGGGAAGTGTGGAGCAGATGAGGGAGTTGCAGAGTGAACGGTCCCTATGGAAAGTAGATAGGGGTGGGGAAGGAAATATCTTTTTGGTGGTGAGTTCTGATTGCAGGTGGTGAAAACAGTGGAGGATGATGCATTGGATTTGGACATTGGTGGGGTTGTATGTGATATCTGACTTCCAGTATCTGCAGTCAGTGCTATCTCCTAGCTGCTAATGACTGATACAATTGCCTAAGTTGACTGGGTTGTTAGTGCCAAATCCTGACTGGATGGCAATGAATAGTGTTTGAGGAATAAGGAAGTGAAGGTTGGTACTGAGAGTACAAAAACAAAAACAGAAATCGTTGGGAAAATTCAGCAGACCTGGCAATTATAAAGAGATGTCACTGGAACCGATGTTTTAACTTTGATTTCTCTCTACAGATGCTGAGTTTGTCCAGCAATTTCTGTTTTTCTGATTTCCAGCATCCGCAGTTTTTTTGTTAGTACGTAGGATCACGTTGCCCATTTCAGTCTGTGATTAAAACTTTGTACTTGGGTTTGAGTAATGTTAATCCAGAAGTCCCCAGGATGAGTGATCCCAAAAATGGATAGAAATTGGATAGAGTAGCTTAAAGAACACAAACAGTACTAAAATAACACAAAATATCGTGAAATTGAGAAAACAAGACAGAAGCAAAGAGAGATTGAAACCAAGAGCACAATAGACGTTTTGAATCGGAACAAGACGAAAAAGCAGACACTCGAACACAGAACCAAGCAGGAACAAATTCAAACGGAAGGACTGAAAAAGAAACAAAAGTTGAGATGGGGAAGGAGAAGCTGAGACGGTGAGAACAAGAACACCGGTCCTGATGGCTGAGTTTGTGAAGGATGTCGGAGATGGATTTGTGACAGTTATCATCGTGAAGTTATTTTTGCCTATGTTTAGTCTAGTTGTGAAATCTCATTGGAGAAAAAAAGAATAGATTTGCATGAATATCATGCTTTGTCTAGCCCTGGAACATCGCAAATCCTTCGCACCAGTCAGTTTTACGTGTTGTAGTATGTCCGGTGATGAATGAGAATCCCTGTTGAACACACAGTTTCAAAATTTGAGAATCTTCCCATTTGAAGAGTTTAGAAGTGTGTGGGCGGGGGTGTAGGTGGATGGTCGGGGGGTGGGTAATTCGAAAAAGTTAATTTGTAGGTCCTCGACCAGAACAACTTCCTCATTCTGCGGAAGTGCTTTAGTTAGTCTCGAGACCTGAAATCAAACATAGGGTCGCTATTCTCAAATGTGAGCATCACTAGCTGACCCCAATTCTTTCAGCGTCATCGGAACAACTTAAAGAGCAGCATACCCCAATATTTTATTTAAAGCCATGGAGAATTTTCCTGGGTCTGTGGCCGGTTTAAATAAATTGACTGAATGAAGCCAGTACACAACTTGGTGGGTTCTTTTACAGGTGTGCTTTCCACCCACTTCATTTTCAGGGTTTGTTTTTGCTGCAGCGAAGCAATTCAGCATAATTGGATACAGAGCTCGGAGCATTTCTGATATTTTTATTAAGATTCCACATTATACGTGCTCCAATCGAGGACCCTGCTGATGGCTGTACCTATTGCGAAAGGTGTCGAATAATGTTCTTACTGATACACTCAATCCGAGTTGAGCCCATACATCGTATGCGTCTATTTGTACCGTCCACATGGGCAAATTGTCCCCAAGAACTGAGCCAGACAATAACAATGCACTTACACACCAACTTCAAGGGGAAAGACAAAGTAAAAGTTACATGCACGGGCCTATAGCTTGCCAGCTACTACTGAGTGAGCATTAGTAAACACGACATCAAATCCATACCACACCATCAGAATATGGATTCAGTACAGCTTTCTCCGGCGGTTTTTGTCCCTCATGTTTCTATGCTCTGGGGTAATGGTACTTAGAAGGAGCGGAGTATTTATACATGAGGCTGCTGCTCCTCGCATTTGAGATAGTCAGCGGTAGCTGGAATTCTACATGTTAAATTATTTTTGTTTCTGTGAGTCCGTAATAATGTAATTTGTTCCACTTTTTTTGTAACCAGGTGTTAGCGTCAAACTCTGTCAAGGCAGGTAAAGCTTGGGTTAGATTCAAAGTAAATCTTCATCTATACTGTCTTATCAAACTCTCCAGGGACATGTACAGCTTGGGTTAGATGCAGATTAAAGCTCACTCTAAGCTGTCCCATCAAACACTCAGGGTAGTGCGGGTTTCTGTACACTCCCTGACAATGTGCCTCATGCTGAATCTCTGGACTAGTGGAGCAATTCGGTTTCCTATAACATCCGACCTGACGAACCACCAACCAGATCACTTGCGGTTTATCCCCACCCCCAACCCAAAAACGGTCTTTCGTGGGAGAGGAGGCAGCTCAGAGCACGCCCGCTTATTTTGTTCATGCCAGTTCTAGTTCGTTCTACAAATCAAGTTTTCAAACCCATTGTGACATCTACAAACCATTTCCTATGGTCCAATTTACGCGAAATCGCAGGAGAGGTTGCTCTCGATTACGTTTTGCGTTAATAATTAATGTCTGGTTGCTGGGATCTGAGAGTTTAACAGTCTATTCCAAAAACGTATTTTTCGAGCTATTACGAATTGCTTACGTATATTTAGATATAACGCTAGGAGATTGGAGTTAAACACAAGACTTAGATTGATAGTCAAACTTTTCTTCGTTTCTTACAGTTTTGGCAAATTAACCACACTTCTGAATATTCCAAGATTTTAAACTGATTTTTCCATGTTATTCAATTTTTGGCCAAAACATCAAAGTACTGTAATTTCTAAATCCTTGCGCCTTTGAAGTTCGTGGTTGGGGAAGTCGGTTGGGGACTGGAGAACATGAACTTCAGTAGAGCTGACAGACGTACAGGAATATTCCGGAAATGTGATCGATAGAACCTGATTCAAGCAGAAGCTGTGGGCTGCTGAAGGATTAATTTCTGGCCACTTTCCAATGGCATTTCTTCAACCTAGTTGCACGCTTGCTCAGTTGTGTTACTGCTTTTGGCCCCATAACAGTTAGAAGGCTGGGCTTGAGCATGCAAGAGGCACATAATGTCAATGTCACCAACCTTGGAATGAGTTCATGGAACGTCCTGGGTAGGCTGTTAGATGGGAGGGGAAGAAAAAGGCAGAGTGAGTGGAGTCAAGCAGAGGGAAAGAAATGAAATCAGAAGAGAGAGAAAGAAAGAAGCAGAAATGGTGACAACAAAATGTGAAACAAATACATGAAAGCCAATTACTCAAACACCAAGCATGCTAATCCGTTCTTGATGCACACCTTGTGTGATAATCACAACTTATATAGTCTGAGTAGTTTTTTTTCCCCTCAAAGGAGCTACTTTGAGCCAGTGTTGGATTGAATAGTTATTCAAGTGGAACGTATGTCCTGCTTTTAACCGGGAACCAGGAGTGGTGTGGGTAGCTGAGGGGAGAAGTTCGGGAGGGGGTGGTGCTGGCTTGGCCGAATTAATTGGATGGCTCCAAGGCAGCCGTCAAAGTGACCGAGTCTCAGCATTGTACGGTTTTGGAAATATTACTGTAATAGTTTCAGGCCTCACCTGCAGGCCATCAACTTTTCTCTTCCATAAAACTGGCTATTAAGGGTGGGTGCAGTCTTATTTAGCAGGGCGCCTGCCATTAAAAGGGTTGGGTGGATGCCTGCAGCCTTGGGTAGGGAAGCTCAGTTCATGTGGCTTGGAGGAAGAATCTCGCTCCTCGGGGATCTACAAGAATTTTTTTTTCCCATTCATGGAAGGTCTTGGCCTTTGAATCCGTGACTCAGCCTCCACTTAGTTACTCTGGTTTAAAGCTCCTAAAGCTTTCCCATGCATGTCTCCAGTTTAAATAGCAGCCAGTATCCGACTTATGTCATCGGATTCCAAGTTGTATCTTTAAAGAACCACCTTGCAGCTTCCCAGCGACTGTCCTTCTCACCTCATCAGAAGAACAAGTTATAATTGCAACCAGGGGGTTGGTGTATGACATCAGTAGATGAGTCATGAGCAATTTTAATTGGCTAGCCCGTTGCCGTCTATCAGACGCAATTAGAAATTGGCTAAAGTAGAATCAAGAATATCCCTGGGCAATTGAATCTAAACATTAAAACCGCGATTACATAGCCCACGTGCCATGAGCACAAGGCAATACACGAGAAAAATGCTTAAGGCATAAAAAAATCCCCACTCAGTAATACTTAAATTCATATTCAGAGGCAGCTTTGACCTTCTCCTGAAGGTTACTTGTAATCGGGCTAAATGGCAAACCAATATTTACCCCAGCCAATCTGGCAGTGTCAATGTTGGAAGAAATGTCTGTAGATTCAAATAAGCTGGCAGTTTTATCATAAGAAATTGACTTGTCACGTAAGTGGAGCAGTGCACAGCCCAGACTATTGGCTATGTTGCAGAATATTTAACTGTGGAAAGTAGCCCATTGTGAAGAGTCTCGCAGTTTCTCTTAAGTGTGATTTCTAGAAACACCGTGACTGGAAGTCGTCAGGAGCAGGAACATTTGCGGGTATTCCTCCTTCTCCATGACCCCTGAATCTCTAATGATCCACCTAGACACGATGGAAATATTTCAAAAAGTTCAAATTGGACAGTTTGATATAGTTTTTAAATTTTGTCCACCAGCACAGTATGTTCTCGCAGTGTTTTATACGCCCTTAGAATGTGCAATGTTAAAGTATCCAATGATTTTCCTCACTATATTGTTACAGGCTCTTGGCATCCATGTAGAAACGTCTCAGTTGTTCAAGCACCTCCAGCAGCTATTCTACTTATCTCTGTGTTTCTCCCTAGTTTCTCGGGTATTTAAAATTCAAGATTCAGATATTTGACTCAATAAAGGAGGCAACGATAGTCCCCTTGTCTGTCCGGTCTCAAAGTCACTGAATGACACTTCAGGATCATCACTGCATGAAGGCAGCATCCAGACTGTTATCAATAATTAAAATCAATGACATCATATGACAACAAGGCCTAAAACTGAGCTACTACCTCTTTTGACTGCGTAACTGAAGGCCTAGAGCCTTATTTAGAATGTAGATTTTACAATCTCTGCAATTTCCTGTTAAACACCAACAGTATGATATGTTTAACTCTTTGTTTTTAGAATTTTGCCACTTTTTTATGACATCTTAAGAAACAGCCACTGTTCAGATTTCAATCCAATGCCTATTCATATGTATTTTCCAATGTGAACCATTGCAAAATTGTCAGGACAGAAACACTAATTCCCACTTTTCTTCCTCCTAGCCCAAATATAATGAAACAACTTTAGTTCACATACCATCATGTTAACTAATGTTGGCTAACTCAGCAGCAGCCATTTCCTGGTCAATGCCACCTCACCCAATGCATTCACCCACACCAGTCACCAGGAGAACTGTATCATTCCTAACCTTCATTTTAATTTTAAACATCTTTAAGATCTGTTACTTAATTCAATAATTTCAGTTCTGAACACTGATTTTTTACAAAGAGTCAATGGCACTGGACACAGGATCAACAGTAAGGTTGAACTGAGGAGCATGGAAATGAGTGTGTTTGGGGTTGAAACAAATGCCTGAGCACTTCAGCACACATCCCTAAATCTTCATTGTCTGGAGTGCTACTTTAACAGAAGTCTTTTGACTGCAAACATTAGTCATATTATTCTTGGACTACCTCCCATATCTAAACTGATAATAAACAGGTTCACTAATACTTTCATCTGTGAAAAACAGATCACACTGTTATGGTTGGAACAGATATTTTGCAGAATAAAATATAATACTATTTATTGGTGCAAACTCAATTCAACTTCAAATGGCAAGTAGCACAGATTTACAGAGATTAACAAAAATGCAACAAATGCAAATACAAATATAAAAGGAGAAAGAGTAAAGGACAAATTAATGTCACATGGAGACCCTTTGTCAGAAGTGGAAAATGGGAGCTAAAAAACCAGTTTAGATGTTAGCTGTGGGCTCAGTTGGCAGTGCTCAAACTTCAGAGTCAGAAGGTTGTGAGTTCAAGTTCCACTTGAGAGACAAATGCTAAAGTCCAATGCTGTACTGAGAATGCTAAATAGGAGTGGTATGACTTGGTTCATTTTAGCAATGAGCATTTCATTAGTATTCTGTGCATGGGCCACATTATATTATGTTTTCCATAATTTCTCAATTCCCCACAATGCGGACAAATCCCTTGGTGATAAGAACCTGAGGTGTTTGAAGAGTTACAGTTTCCCTTCTCTGGTAAGAGGCTTTGTGAATCACATGACACAATTCTGGATGTTTGCTGGTATTCATCTACAGATTTCCTCCACCTAAACTATATTGTTGCTCCTTCACTTTTCAGGGCTATATCACAATAGCATCAGCAACAAAACCCACTTGGGCACACATACACCTAATGTTGAATCAAACTACCCCTTTGAGTTCAGATAGATATTTAAACAAAATGGTCACTAGGGAGTTATATCCCAAATAATCTAATTTGAGATTCATTTGTAGCTGGCAACAACTTCCTTCTAATATACTGCAATATCCTCTTAAACACCTTGATTAGACAGTGCCTTAGAATCAATTAATAATGTAGTAGCCAGGTCTTGGATCTGGGCATAAGCAGACTTTTGCTAACCTTGACTAGACTGATTTTCAAATAGTCCTTTTGAAATACAGATAGACTGGTTAAGTGATTCAGCAATGATGAATATTTTGAAATTACCAAACAAACTCAATGAAAGGGAAAATAGACAATTAAGGGCAACAGGAGGGACTGAAAGGTAAAAATAGACAGTATAGGTTTACTGGTAATCATAAACTACTACTAACAGATTTGAACATGATAAGGAAATGATTGGATAATATAATCATGTGTATTAGTTTGAAAATGATTGTCTAATATAGTCATAGATATTAGTTTGAACACAATTGGATGATATAGTCATTCGTACTAAATGGGAATGTGAACTGTGCAAACATAATTGGGTGGAGTAGAGGTAAGTAAATGTTTAACTTTTTGACTAGAAATTATTATCTGTAGGAATAGTCCATTGGAAGCTTATCATCTGTAAATATAGTCTAAACCTTTGTTCTTGCAATAAAGATTTGAACTGTAAACCACTGGGATATGTTCATCTCCCATGCATGCATGAATAAACATTCTAACAAAGAAACCTGAGTCTCCTCTGGTATAAGAGGAAAAGAAGAGTTAAACATACCCTTTCAATGACATCCCACTCAACATGATAGCAGAGTTGCCTGACTGTTAAGATCAGTTATCATTGTAATGTCACTTTCCTGGACTTTGGCTTCATGATGTATTCACTAGTTGTAACTAAAACAACAATGCTTGAATTCACTGTGTCATTTATATAAAATTTTCACAATGAACTACTTTTTCCTTAAATAGTGTTAACCTCATGTGCTAACGGCTTCCATTATATAAGGGATAAGGCCAATAGAAAATCTGTTCTGATAAAATATTAATGATGTGACAACCACTTTGTGGGGTTACAAAGCTCTATTTTTGACACAATCAATTGTATAACTGAAATTCTGGTCTGCATTACTTAGAAATTTGATTTTACAATGTTTGCTACCCCTGTACATCCCTGTTGAAGGTCATAGTATGCCTAACTCTTTCCCACTTCTTGTCAACTCATGAGAAGGTCAAAGTTCAGATTTTCATCCAACATTCATACTTACGCATTTTCCTCTTGTCCTACCTGTGATTTCGTGTTGCCTCAGCTCATTGTACTTGTATGCTTGTTCCAGTGGTCTAATGGCATTGTGATATATCTTCCGTAACCGCTGCAGTACACCTAGTGAGAGATTGGGGAGAAGACAAATGTCAACTTGGATTTAAGCCAAAGAGAGAAGCCAAGACACCTTTCTTAGGGGATTGACTTCATTAACTACTCAGTCTTGTAGATATTTTCTAATCAACCTGTTCAGTCAGGTTATTACCTCTGGAGCAGGTGGCATTTGAACCTATGCTTACTGGCTCAGAAATAGGAACACTACCACTATGCAACAAGAGTCTTTGTTTCCCTTTTCTATCTGCCCAGTCAATTAATCATTCAATTAAACCCAATTACCTGCTTAACTGCTTACTATATTATCAGAGTCCCCTCTTCTCTTTAAATGAAACTTCCAAAAGCATGTGAATAACCTTTGAACAAATTTCATCAGAAGTAAACCAAAATAATATTTACACATTCTATATTTTACATCATAACACAACTGATCAATAACAAAGATATATATTTTCTCATATTCCTTATAATACAATCGGCCTCACGTATGCCCGTTCCTTTGAACAAGAAGATTGTAATATATTTGTACATGAAGAAATCCAAACAAAAATGATTTTTCTCATTGTTTTTTATAACTCCTTATACCAGCAAATGTCCTTCCTCAAAGATCTCCAGTTATTTCTTGGAGCAAACACATTTTTTTTTTGTGAAGCACAATCTGCCAATTGCTGACTTGCGTCCACCTGCTTTATTTTGGATATCTATCCTCTTTCTAACATTTAATTGTTCTAGCAAAGACAGTCTTCAACCTTTTCTCAGTGACATCCTTTGCAACATGTACATTGTCCCAAAGACAACAGTTATTCAATAACATCCAAAATGGCAAACTTTTTGGTATGAGTTTTACTTTTGACTACTGGATAAGTACACCCACATATCTATAGTTTCTATTAGCACCGACGTTTCAGTAGTTAAAGATACTTTAAATTACACATTGTATTTTCTCAGTTTCCAGGCCAACAGACAACATTTATTGTTCTTTTCCATCAAAAGCATGATAAATCTAGCTATAAAAACAGAAGTTTCTGGAGAAGTTCAGCAGATCTGGTAGCATCTGTGAAGAAGAAAATCAGAGTTAACGTTACGGGTCCTGTGACCCTTCCTCAGGACAGTTCTGAGGAAGGGTCATCGGTCCCGAAACTTTAACTCTGATTTTTCTTCACAGATGCTGCTAGACCTGCTGAGCTTTTCCAGCAACTTCTGTTTTTGTTCTTGATTTATAGCGTCCACAGTTCTTTCGTTTTTTATAAATCTGGCTATACTTGAAAAGCCATCTACAAGATTAGCATGAGAAGCATCACTAAAAAGGACTAGCGTCGTACTGTGAGTCATTCATAGCTGGAAACTTGAATATGCATTTTTCTGCCTATAATTTCTGTAATGTTTTATTTGCTCTCAACAGTTCCTCAGTTGTGGTATGTTTCATCGTTGTATTAAGTTCCAGTAGGTCATAACTGGCATCAGGTCAAGTTTGATTGCACAACCAGTTTAATTGTCCAGTGAAACTTCTTAACTGATCTATTTCTTCTTTGGACAGAAAGTGTTCTTTCTGTGAGGACCTGGCCTGATTTATTGGGATGTTAACACTTTTCAGGTAAGTCTGTTGATCCAAAGTCACTCCTGATTTATTTGGTTTAATGTCTAGTTCTACATATTTAATAGCCCCCAAACCCTGACTTCCAGTCTGAAATTCCTTCTTTATCTTATCTATCATACATGGCTCAAATTCTTTTGGAACCCTCAATCATCAATGTGTGTCATAAAGATGCCCATCAGTTTCTCTCTGGGAAAGCAGTTAAACAATCCTGGATCTGCTTTAAGCTGAATGCAACCTACTTCCAACAAGACAGACTGAACTGAGAAATACCATACCACTGCTGCATCATTCAACCCATAAGCCCATTTGCTTCATTTCAATAGCTTCACTGTCTTTAAGTGGTTTCAAAAATACTTCCCTTTGAAATTTTTCAACCTGAAAAAATGTAGCTTTTATATCAATTGACTTACTTTCTAGGTATTGCCAAAAGAGCTAAGATCTTCAAAGTACTTTCCCAAAAGTAGGGGAATTCATTCTAACATTTTGATCATCAAGTTTCTGTTCAAAACCCTGAGCCACTAGTCTGGCTTTAGCCTCCTTATATGGAGTATATTTTTCAGGAAGCATTTATCTGTGCATAGCCATCTATATGATAAACAGGCTATTCCTTGACTAGTACCTCAATGTATACACCAAATTCTTTCCAGTTCACCAACTTTTGTTTGGGATTCTTTATCAACTTATTGTATAATTTTTTTGCAGCCTTTAAAATTTACTGATAATAAGGCCTTCATTTCTCATGGTAATCCAAATTTGTTCCGTAGTCTTTGATCTTATCAAGTTATGACCTTTACCCTCCTTCCTATCTCATTCTGCACCACTACTATAAGATCTCCCATACCTAGGATCAGAATTTATTTAGCAAGTTCATAATCTTATTCAGGAGTCATGTTCATATGCAGGTACCCTTTTGTACTGTATACTGTGTTTTCTGGACTTCTACATCTTTACCCCACTTTGCCAATCCATGGATCTTACCTCCTGTCCCTCATCTTGTATATTTAACCAATGTTCGCATCTCCTGGTGGCTTCCCATGCCCTGCCTATTATATGCTCCCTCCATTCACTGTCTCCTTCTGGCATATATGTTATTTTGGTGCCAACCTTTATTCTTTGTCTTCTGAGGCAAGCAGCCTTGTTCTGCATTTCTGTGTGGCTTTTGTCATATTCAGTCAGTCCTTTATCTGCCTCATCATTGAGGTCATCATCATTGTCCAACATTTGTATTTGCAAGATACATGGTGCCTAATCACTCTTTATGACTTGTTCAGATTCTGTAAATATGTAATCATGTTTGTAACGCCTGTTAACTTTCAGCAATGCACCCTAATAGTTTGGTTCCCATGCTAAAATTGCTATTTTTCCATTACTTACCCTGAACTTTCCACTTCATTTGTCCTTCTCTTTTGTAATATTCAATGTCCACTGGATTGAAATTTATTTCTAATGGTATTATATGATTCCATAAAGCTTACTGAATTTTCTCTGAACTTTAGCCTTTTTGAATGTCCTTCTCACTTCATGGAGGGCATTCAGTTACCCAGAAAAAGTGGAGGTAATTGTAATCCCTTCCTAGTCGGATATGATCACTCATTCCCAAAGGAGTTTTCTATGATTTTATTTTCAGGAAAAAAATTATCAACTTGGACAGTAACCTTCAACCACTTGCAGTGAGTTCTTTGCATGGACTACCCATACCAGGGCTCATATTAATTTACAACTTTGTTGGCCCACTACAATTTTATGAAGCATCTCATCTATTTCCCTGTGATCTTTACCATGCATCTGTTATTAAAGGGGCTTTCAGATGCTGTATTCATTGCCACAATGTTCATATTTTCACATTGATTCATAAATTAATTGTTGGAAAATCCACCCCTCCTTTTGTCAGTTAGGAATTTATTCAGATGGCTAGCTAGTCCATATCTCCTTTGCTTAATCCACTTTTATCATTTTCTCTTTACTACGTATTATTGTAAGATACTTAATCTAGTTTTCATATCTACAATGTGAAAATTTAAAATATTTTTTCCATTACACATATTTCATGTCAATTACTACAACTTAACTAAAGTCTGTTGCTAATGGGACATTCTCTACAGACTGTGATGGTGTCCTATATTTTTACATATCACAGTTATCGTTCATCTCTTCTATAAGTTTAGGGTGCTTGTTATCCTTTACTCCTGTATCCTTTAATAGAATTATTAACCTGTGAAAAGATGGACACACAAACTGTTAATATAGTTTTCATATAATTATACCTCTTTTTCCTTTAAACTACTATCTCTCATTGCTAATAACACCTGCTTAACATTTTGATTAGAGCAGTCAGCTTTTAGTAAAGGCATACAAATAATGTCTGGATTGCCTTTACAGTAAATCAATTGACTGGCCATGTCAATGCTGCATATTTGGTTTCATTTGAGCCATTTACGTGGAATGCCTGCTCACGAGTAAGGATATTTCACTTCACAGCATATCTGTGCTGGTAAAATGATTTATAGCAGCTATTTAACAGGGAATTAGAATTTATTTTAGTGATTTCAGCATGTTGTTATCTGCAAATCTGAAGCAGGTTGAAATCTCAAATTCCTTAGTGTTATTTCAGTCCCTATTATTAAAAGAATCTGGTAAGATCTTAAGCAATCCATTCCACACACTGTGGATGTGCATCCACTGTCCAACATAAAGAAAATTCATTGCATAATAGAATTGAGGGTTGCATCTAAAATGCCTGTTGACTATACCTCAGATATTCCTGAAATTCATTCTTCTGTCAAAGTTTTCCAATTCCTATTATCTGATATATTTACCAAAGGTATCTCTATTCTCATCCTTTTACCAATGATTCTCCTTTTGTATTGATGATTTCAGCTTGCCTCTAGGCAGTCTTCTTTTGCTGCTATCACTGAATCCTCTATTCCTTGTGGATTGAATGGCCCACTTGAGTTGTGAAGGTCATTGGGAATGAATGTTTTTAGAGGAATTTTTTTAAGGCTTCAAACATCTGTTCCAAAAATGTGTCTCTTTCTGAAAATCTAACTCCAGTTCATGCTAGGAATCTACTCATGTTCAAATCCTAGCACTGTACAATGTTGTGAAGTTGGTTAGAGTACTTGTGGATTGGGAGGCAGGAAGTTAGAATTTGCTGTTTGTAAAATGTTAAGGAGGAAAGCATTGTGTGGTCCCTTTAAAGGATGATGTGCTTTTGCTATGCTTAGATATTTAATATGGATATCTGTAAGCGGCAGCTTGAAAGTACACACAGAGCACCCGAATTGAAACATTTGTATCGAAAGACCATATAATTAACAGGCCAAGCTACAGGTTTTTTTTTTTAACCAATACAACAAGTTTTGATTTTAGCCAATCAATTTGAACCAGGCACTTAGATACCAAAAACCAATTAAATTTAACTCTGATGGTTTTGACAACATTGGACCAATCCTATTGTAAGAAATATTGATATGTTATCAAGGGTATAAAAGAAGGGGGCAGTTGGACATAGGCAGCAGAGCTAACTGCCGTCCACCAGAGTTAATAGTCTTCAGCTCTCAAAGGGAATCGTTGGCTCTCACAGTCTCCTCCATGTCCTAGAGAAAGTACCATCTGAATAACAAAGGTACCAACGGCACAGCTACTTAACATTCCTGACAGAAGAGTCCACAGAGAAGGCATTTCTGACAGCAAAATTGAAGGAGAAAGCACAGAACATTCTGGAAGACACATCACCTGGCTGTAATTTTGAGACACTAAATTTGATTTTTTTCGTGAGTGGGACTTGTATTTTTTGGAACAGCATGCCATTAGAATCTTGCTGTATTCAGGAATACTTAGTAGTTAGAAGGGATTTATTCTGTTTGTTAATAGTTTGGTTAATTTGTTCACTGTTAGAGATAGATAAATAAATTGTTACTTGTTGATTTTAAAGTGGGTGTGCGGAATTTATTTTACTTAACCACTAGAAGTTGCTAAAGAGTAGGTTACACCTCTTAAACACGCTACTTTTACAGATTATAGGGTGAGGTGCTCCTCTTTGGGTATTTGGGTTTTAGTTCTCAGAGGTGGGTCTACCTCCACTTATAACAATAACAATTTAAAGGCAAACTCTGAATTAAGAGTGTCTAAGTAGATTTCTTGCAGTCTTGCATAGTCTGTTAAGTTCCATTATATATTCTAAAGAATATCAATTCTTCTCTTTAAATTCAATGTCTGACCATATCTCATATGTAGTTAATAGATTAAAAATAATAACATTTGCAAATCTTCCTCATGGTTCAATTGTTGAACCTTTAGGTCTGAGAATATTTTCACCAGATCTTGCTTCTGGTGGGAAGTAACAATGCCAAGGCCAAACCTTGTTTTTTTTAGTAAAGACATAACTCATGTTTGCAGATCCACTTAAATTTTTCTAGTGATCAGACAAGTTTCAGCTTCACAAAACAATTGGTGGGAAGTGACATCCCAACACCTTATACAGGCTTCAGCCATTCTTCAGCTGAAATAGATATGGGAAATTTTCCTCCATGAAGATGAGTTTACCCATTCTCACTGCATCATAAGCTAAAACACCAAGGAAATCTGAGGGCCTATTTACTGTTGTTCTGGAAGTTATTTAAAAATATTTTTAAGTAAATAATTTTCAAATGACTAATCTCAGGCAGATGTCAAGAAAATTGAGCAAATGGCCATCATTTTTAAATTTAAGAAACATATTCATTGTGGAGTCAAAAATACCAGGACTGGAAACAACTAAAACATTTAAAATCAAACTTTTCTGCATTGTTTATGGCCAAGACACCTGTAGAAAATTATTTCTGTGACAAACACTCACGTTTCTGCTTGCAGCTTCCAACTTGTGAAGGAATGGTAGGTGTAACTGCAATTTAAGTTAAAATTTCATATCCCACTACACTTCAATTGTAATTATTTGTTTGAAGTGTCAGGGTTTTTAAAAGCTTTATTTGGTTTAGGTTTTTCATGTTTATGCATTTGTGAGATAATCTGAAAATATTCTACTGCTTTTGCTGATCTAGAATCTTTCCCCTCCACAGCAGTTAATTTACCACTATAATCATCAGATGGAGCCTTCTCATCCAGCCGGAGAGTTTTTTCAATGTGCGATCGATCTCTGAAAGGCAGCAGGAGCTGCGGCTGCTCTTCTCCCTCCACCTCGGCCTCATCACCTTCATCTGCAGGCAAAAAAAAAGGAAATTATCAGTAATTACTCCTACATTTTAAGTGCTCTGAATTTCCTACTCCAAAGATTTGCTAGGACAATATTCACGCCCTATGTCAACCTTAGGTCAATGAGAATATATATCAATTTTTTGTCCCATTCCAGAGGTTTGAGCTCATAATCTGGCTCATGCTCTTACTACAGTACTAAGCAAGTATTTCACTGTAAGAGGTGCCATCTTTTAGCTGAGATGCCCTGTCCAAGGTCTTGTCTTCCCTGCCAACATGATGTAATAATACTCATGGCAGCAAAATTCTTCCCATGATCCTGGCTACTTTAATCTTTCATCAAATATGTCAAAAACAGATTATGTTGTCATTCATTCCATTATAATTTGTGAAATTTTGCTCTATGCAGATTGGCTTCTGCATTTTGTAGTATAACATTGACTAATGAAAGTAAAATTCAGTGAGATGTTCTTGGACAGCCCAAGGATATGAAAGCAAGGATATAAATGCAAATTCTTTCCTCTCTCTGCGCAATGATGGTAAAATAGCATTCTTGGCACTGCTTATATTTAATTAGATATCATAAAATTGCAACGTTGTGCTTTTTATTTCCCTCCAACTTCCTTCCCTTCTGAAGACACTGACTTCTAACAATAGAGATAGTAGGAACTGCAGATGCTGGAGAATCTGAGATAACAAGGTGTAGAGCTGGATGAACACAGCAGGCCAAGCAGCATCAGAGGAGCGGGAAAGCTGACGTTTCGGGCCTAGACCCTTCTTCAGAAAAATTTTCAGCTTTCCTGCTCCTCTGATGCTGCTTGGTCTGCTGTGTTCATCCAGCTCTACCCCTTGTTATCTCGACTTCTAACAATAGTCTGCTTTCATGCATGTCAGCCATTACTACATTATGTTGATAGGCTGCTCCATACAACTCCAAGTGCCTAAAAGTATAAAATAAAAACAAATCTGAAACTTTTGTTAGTTAAAAAACACTGAGTCAATGTGATATTCTGTTTTTCCCAGAGTTCCTGGTATTTGTCATAGGAGCAGGTATAGGCACCTTGAGCCTGCACTGCTATCCTGTTAGATAATGAATCATTTTTATTTCTCCTCCATTTATCTGCCTTTAAATCAATATTCCTTAATAACTTACACCCAAAATTTGCTGGAAATTTTAATGGGCATTCGGTATCCATAACTCTTTGAGAGAGACAATTCCAGATGCCTTCTGCTCTTTGTATGGATAATTTCTTGTTGATTTTACTCCTGAATTGTCTAGCTTGCAATTAAGATTTTGCCTCCTTCGCCGACGAGGACACATACCGACCAGGACAAACTGACCCGACACTGCAACTAGGCAACAAAATCCTCTACACGCTACAAAGACTTAAACAAACAGGACAGATCAACAAAACAGACTTCTTAAGAATGAAACCCAAAGGAACCAACACACCCCAATTCTACAGCCTCCCTAAAGTGCACAAGCCGGAAGTCCCCCTCAGACCCATAGTCTCCCTACCAGGCACTCCATCGCACAGATTAGCCAAAGAACTACAAAGAAGACTCAGGCACCTAGTCAACAAGTCACCCCACTCTATCCACTCAGCCCAAGAATTCCTCAACTCCATCAAAGACATAAAGATAGAGGACGAAGAGACCATGATATCGTTTGATGTCACTGCCCTATTCACATCAATAGACATACCACTAGCAAGGGAAACAATGACAACACTACTAGAACAAGAGCACGACCCCAGTGACACCATCTCCAAGGACAACATACTCAAACTATTGGACCTATGCCTGACCACCCACTTCACTTTCAACGGCCAAACATACGAGTAAATCAACGGGACACCCATGGGATCACCTATCTCCGGAATCATAGCAGAAGCAGTGATGCAAAGACTAGAAAGGACTACCCTTCCGCAAATCCAACCAAAACTGTGGATACACTACGTAGACGACACCTTTGTCAACATTAAATGGACCAAATTAGAGGAGACACACAAACTTATAAACAACACCCTCACCAGAATAAAATTCACCAGAGAGGAGGAGAAGAACAAACAGCTCCCATTCCTGGACGTCTTGGTAGAGTGCAAGACAAATGGGGAACTGCAAACGAAAGTACACTGAAAAACCACACACGCAGACCAGGTACTGAGCTTCAACAGTAACCATCCCAGCACACACAAACGAAGCTGCATGCGAACACTATTTAAAAGGGCAACAACACACTGCAGCAACAAGGAACTACGTCAAGAGGAAGAAGAATACCTCTTCCAGGTTTTCAAGGATAATGGATATCCAAAGAATTGGGTCAGAAGATGCCTACACGAACAGCATCAGAAAGAGACTACACGCCCTGACACACTCATCACACTACCCTATATCAGAAACACGTCGGAACTCACCACAAGACTCCTACAACCACTGGGCATCAGAGTGGCACACAAGCCCACGTCAACCCTACGACAACTGCTCACCCGAACTAAGGACCCACTCCCCACCGTGGATAGGACCAATGTCATCTATAAGATCCCCTGCAGAGACTGTGAGAAACACTACATTGGACAAACAGGAAGGAAACTAACAACAAGAGTACATGAACACCAACTGGCTACAAAAAGGCACGACCAATACTCACTCATCTCAATCCACACGGACAAGGAGAACCACCATTTCGACTGGGACAACACCAAGATCCTGGGACAGGCTAGGCAGAGACAGGCATGAGAATTCCTAGAAGCATGGCACTCCACGAAGCATGCTATCAATAAACACATTGAACTCGACCCCATATACATTCCACTATGAAGGAAAACTGGAAGTGAGGCAATCCAACCAGGCGGGAAAACACACCGACACTTCATCAGAGGCTGCACTGAGGATGTTACCAAGCATGGTAACGAAACGTCTGCAAAACAAGAAACCAGCTCGGCGAGCCAACCAACCTCAACAACCTCAACACCCACAACCCGAGCTACAAATCTACTCCAAAACCTTAGAGCGTCCTTCTTCTGTGTACTGTCCTTCCTGTTTGGAATGGTAGAGGGGATATGGAGTATTGCTGATTCCCAGAGGTGACTCTTAGGAATTTTTCTTCATCAACAATAGTGAATATTCTAGCCTGTCCTCAGTGGCCTGGATGACGTAAAGGAACATAGAAAATAGGAGAAAGAGTGGACCATTTGATCTATCAAGGCTGCTACACCATTCAATATGATCATAGCTGATCCTCTGTTTTAATGATTTACCCCTACTCTCTTTCTTTACACCATGAGATCTCTGGCCTTTATAAATCTATGTATTTCTTTATTAAATATATTCAGTGATTTGGCATTCACAGCCTTTGGTGAAGAGATTTCTACTGGTTCACTACCCTCTGAGTAAATAAATTTATATCTCCGTCCAAAATGGCTTGCCAGTACCTGAAACAGTGACCCCCTCGTTTTGGCCAGAGGAAACATCATCCCTTCATCCAGTCTGTCTGGCCCTATTGGAACTTATATGTTTCAATGCAATCCCCTCTTCCTTGTACACTCAAGTGAATACAGCCCCAGGTGACCCAATCTCTCTTCATATGACAAATCTGCTAGCCCAGGAATCAGTCTGGTGAACCCTTGCTGTACTCCCTCTCTGGCAAGTATGAATTTTCTTAGGTAAGGTAACCAGAACTGAACACAGTACATCAAGCATGGTGTAATCAAGGCCCTGTACAGGTCCACAGGGTAGTATCCTCGACCCAAACATCTTCTACTGCTTCATCAATGACCTTCCTTCTGTCATAGGGTCAGAAGTGGGGACTATTGCACAATATTTGCCGCCATTTGCAACTCCTCAGATACTGAAGCAGTCCATGTCGAAAAGCAACATGACTCTGACAATATCCAGGCTGGGCTGAAAAGTGGCAAATAACATTTGTGCCAGGCAATTGCTATTTCCAATAAGAGACAATCTAAACACAAACACTTTGACATTCCCATCACTGAATCCCTCACTATCTACATTCTGGAGGATTACCATTTACCAGAAAATGGACTGGACTCACCATATAAATACAGTAGTTAGAAGAGAAGGTCAGAAGCTAAGAATCATGTAGTACATATCTCACTTCCGGACTCCCTAAAGCCCATCCCCACCTACAAGGCACAAGTCAGGAGTGTGTGGCTCATCACTTGCCTGGATGAGTGTAACTACAGCAACACTTCAGAAGCTTGAGCATGTGGTGCCATTCAGTCACTCCACTAGCAACTCATTACCAGGGTATGTACCATCTACATGATACACTGCAGAAGTTCACCAAAGATCCTTAGATAGCACCTTCCAAACCCATAACTAATTTAATCTCAAAAGACAAGGGCAGCAGACACACAGAGTCAGAGTCAAAGACAGGACAGAAACAGACCCTTCAGTCCAAGTTGTCCATACCAACCAGATGTCCCAAATAAATCTGGTCCCATTTGCCACCATTTGGCCCATATCCCTCTAAGCCCTTCCTATTCATACACCCATCCAGATGCCTTTTAAATGTTGTAATTGTACCAGCCTCCTCCTCTTCCTCTGGCAGCTCATTCCACACCTGCACCGCTCTCTGCGTGAAAATGTTGCTCCTTAGGTCCCTTTTAAATCTTTTCCCTTTCTCCTTAAACCTAACCCCGCTAGGTTTGAACTCCCCCACCCCAGGGAAAAGACCTTGTCTATTTACCCTATCCATGATCCTCATGATTTTATAAACCTCAATAAAGGTCACCCCTCAGCCTCCAAAGCTCCAGGCAAAATAACCCCAGCCTATTCAACCTCTCCCTACAGCTCAAGCCCTCCAAACCTGCCAACATCCTTGTAAATCTTCTTTGAACCCTTTCAAGTTTCACAACACCCTTCCTACAGCAGGGAGACCAGAATTACATGCAGTATTCCAAAAGTGGCCTAACCAATGTCCTGTACAGCCACAACATGGCCTCCCAACTCCTATACTCAATGCACTGACCAATAAAGGCAA